GTGAGTGAGTGAGTGAGTGAGTGAGTGAGTGAGTGAGTGAGTGAGTGAGTGAGTGAGTGAGTGAGTGAGTGAGTGAGTGAGTTGTATGGGTAGGTAGAATGGGTAGGTAGAATGGGTAGGTAAGTAGGTTGGGTAGGTAGAATGGGTAGGTAAGTAGGTTGGGTAGGTTGGGTAGTTAGAATGGGTAGGTAAGTAGGTTGGGTAGGTTGAATAGGTACGTAGGTGGGTAGGTTTGAATGGGTAGGTAGGTGGGTAGGTTTGAATGGGTAGGTGGGTGGGTAGGTGGGTGGGTGGAAGTGCACGGGGCGTCTCCTCGCTCACGTCCCGTTCCTGGAGGGACCCTGGCGGGACCGTGCGGGTTGCGGTCATCTTCCTTTCAAGGTCAGGTCCGCCCCTCTCCCGGCACCCTCACCCTCAGCAGCGCGCTGCTCCTACCGCGCCAGCCCCTCGACTCGACACCCGCGCGGCCTTCAGCGAGGCCCTGGCGCAGGCCAGCCATGGGGCTAGCGCAGGTCGGTGCAGGCGCCGCGCTCCCCTGATGCGCTTGCGCATTCCCTCCGAGTACCGCGTCCGATAAATGCTGGACAGAACCAACTCGCTCCAATCGCCCTCGTCCTACTCCACAGTGGAAGGCCAGCGGAAGTGGGGATTCTAGAGAGGAACAGCAGGAGTCAAAGTGCGCTCTTTTGGCGTGCTTAGGGCTTTAGCCGAAGTCCTTCCCTTCCTTCCCTGTAGCCGTCGCGAAGCACCTGTCTGATGCTGTACGGCACTCGCGGGCTGTCAGTCGAACCGAACGCACCTTTACAATTACGAAACTCTTCGCCATACCCTACCTACCGTCTCCCCCTCCCTCCTCTTCCTCCGTCCCTTCTCCCTTTCCTTTCCCTCACCTTTCTTTCTCCCCCTCTCCGACGCGTTCCTCATCCTCTTCCCCCTCCTCCTCCTCCACTTCCTCCGCCTCCTCCTCCTCTTCAGTCAGTCAGTCCCCCAACCGCCGCGCCACCCGTCACACCTCTGCACTGCACTGCACTCCCTCTCGTCCTCACTATAAGATGGTGTTGGAAGCTTCACGTCAGGCAAGCGACTGGTTGTCATTCTTTTTTTTTGTTGTAAGATCCTTCGCCATGGCTGTCTCTTACTCAGTGCCCCTGCACGGCGCGCGGCGGGGGCGGGATAGTGTGTGGCACCGCGGGCTCCTAGTGGCCCACAGGGGCCCATGGGGGCCCATAACCTTCAAAGTGTCGTGTGTTTTCGTGTCCTTTCTAGTCGTAAACTAGCTGTTGAGAGACATCAGACGCTCCTCTTTACATTCCTCTAGTGCCTTGTCCTATTTAGTTTTGTGTTTGATGTACTGCTCACGAACTGTCCTGGAGATGGGGAGTCCCTTCCCACGGACACTGCAGTTATTCCTTGTTCCCCCCTGTTCAACTAGAGTGTGTTGTGTTGTTTCCAGATTCGTGAACGATGCAAGGACCTAATCCTCACGGACGAGGTGATCGCCGAGCTCATGCGGCGCATCGCACGGGACGTGGAGAAGGGTCTCGGCAAGGACACCCACAAGGAGGCAGTCATAAAGTGCTTCATCACCTATGTGCAGGATCTTCCAAATGGAACCGGTGAGTCAGCTGGAGTCGAAAATTGTGAAACTGTATTTTTTCACTCTATTACATTTGATTCTAACTTTTACATAATTGCAGAGCGAGGAGAGTTTCTGGCTCTCGATCTTGGCGGCACAAATTTCCGAGTGTTGCTGATTCACCTGGGTCAAAATCATTTTGATATGCAGTCTAAAATCTATGCAATTCCTCAATCCATCATGATTGGTTCTGGAGAACAATTATTTGATCACATTGCTGAATGTCTGGCTAACTTCATGAAGGAACATGATGTTTACAGGTACGTCTGTTTGACCATTACTGAATCCTGTAAAATTTATCATAATTCTGCAGCAGTTTGAACACTTTCATATTATTTTCTTGATTGCAGCCATAAGCTACCTTTAGGCTTCACCTTCAGTTTTCCTCTCCAGCAACTTGGTCTGACAAAAGGTCTCCTAGAAACATGGACAAAAGGCTTCAAATGCAGCGGCGTTGTGGGTAACGATGTGGTGCAGCTTCTCAAGGATGCTATCAAGCGGCGAGGGGTTAGTATTATTATTGTCTCCAAGTTTTGCTCTCGTGGATCAGACAGACTAGATAGTATTGTAGTTACTTTAGCTGCAGTGCGAGTGAGGTATGTTCACACTAGGCAGCCACGCCTTGTGGCATTTATTTTTGATTACAGGATATACAGGTGTCAGTTGTAGCTCTCTTAAATGATACAACTGGCACACTTATAAATTGTGCTTTCCAAAAAACTGACTGCCGAATAGGTTTAATTGTGGGTAAGTCATTCGGCAAAATTAAAGTGAATGCAAAATTGGAACAAAGCTTCATTTAGCATGATGGGGTTTAACAAATAAAATAATTTTGGGCTTATCAATATTTGCTACTGTGATTTTGGCTGTTTCAACTAGGATATTTATAGAGGCTTGTCACAATGCATCTTTTTTTATCTATTTCAACTGTTATTTACTTTGTGCGGTCAAATTAATTAAATATGATAAATTATCAATTTTCGAACAGCATGTCTCCAGGGCAAAAGTATCAAATTTGCTTTGCAGGAACTTCCACATTGTCATCCACATTAGGTTTTTTTTTCTTTCTAATATTTCAAAAGTTTTATTTTGACTTTGTACAACATCTTCAAGATAAGAGAATTGGTTGATCATTCAATTGTGTCTTCATTTGTTGGAGAAGTCACTGCAGCACAGCTTTTGGGACTCCTAATATATGGGACTGCTGATCATTGAGTTCACTACTTCATTGAATGAATTTGGAGCTCTTGTGGGCATGCATGTAACATGGGTACCGCTTTTTATTCTGTTCAGGATATTCAGATCCAGGTCTGCGCCATTCTCAACGACACAACGGGCACACTCATGTCCTGTGCATGGAAGAACCACAACTGCCGAATAGGTCTCATTGTTGGTATGGTTTCACTTTTATTTCAGTTTTCAGTCTGTGTTTTACGAGTTTGAACTTCAGAAGTTAGAGAAAATTACTTTAAGTTAATATGTCCAAGAGTTGGACGTCTCATCTCCATCTTTCATTTTCATAAGAAAAAATAAGCATAGCATGAAACTCTCTTTTAACTTAATTCTAAGTAATTTGTCGTTAACAACCTCATTATCACTTTGTTAATGTTGTTTTCTTTGGTTTCAGGAACTGGGTGTAATGTTTGTTATGTAGAGAAGACTGAAAATTGTGAATTGTTTGATGGAGATGTAAATGCCAAACCTGACTGTATTGTGAATACTGAATGGGGTGCTTTTGGAAGTGATGGTTCACTTGATATTGTGATCACTGAATACGATCGAGAAATAGATGAAAATTCCATCAATGCTGGAAAGCAGTTGTAAGTTTTCCTAATGTATCAAATTTTGTATGTGTGCCTGCAATCCAATTGACGTTTGCATTGACCTTGTTCAGGTTTGAAAAAATGATCTCTGGAATGTACATGGGAGAGTTGGTCCGACTTGCATTGGTACGGTTTACGAAAGATAAATTACTGTTTGGTGGTCAAGGCTCAGACTTTTTGTTCAAGAGAGGAAATTTCTTCACCAAATTTGTCTCTGAAATAGAAAGGTATGTTTTGTTGATCTACATTGTTTTGAAAAATGGGATTGACAATAATCTTACACTGCAAAATTGTAATTTCTAGTGATAAACGTGGAAGTTTCATCAACTGCCGAGAAGTCCTTGGTGAGCTTGGACTTGCACATGCCACTGAACAAGACTGTGCAAATGTTCGATACATCTGTGAATGTGTTTCAAGACGTGCTGCTCATTTGGTGTCTGCTGGTATTGCTGTTCTTATTAACAAGATGAAAGAACCTAGTTTAACTGTTGGAGTTGATGGTTCAGTATATCGTTTTCATCCACACTTCCATGACTTAATGGTGGAGAAAATCAAACAGTTAATTCTTCCTGGTATCAAGGTAAACATATTTTCAATCAATTTCTGTGTAATTTCAGGGTTAGTGTGTGATTTTAATTTTGACTACTTCTGTTTTCAGTTTGATCTGATGCTGTCTGAAGATGGCAGTGGAAGAGGTGCTGCACTAGTAGCGGCAGTTGCATGTAGAGAAAACTGATGTTCTGTTATGTTTATTCAGGTTTTGTAAATATAACTAGAGAATATATTGTATATGAGTGTAAGTGCGTATGTGTGTGTATTAGAGTGTATGTATTGATGAGAGTGTGTAATTATTGTGTGGGTGTGTAAGAACTATGAATCTAGAAGAAGCGGGTCAGGTTACCAGCTACTAGTCTACCCACCACCTGTACTCCAACTGTCCTTACATTTTGTTTATTCAATTACTTTTTACCGTTTTTTAAATGAAATATTATTTTTTTGTATCTGTAGAGGATTTGGTTGGTTTTACTTAGTGTTCTTTTGAAACATGTAATGAGGTTGGTTACTGTGCTTTACTCTGTATATTTTAATATGAAACTGATTCATCCACTATGGCTGGAAACAAATTTTTAAATTGGCTTCTATCTACTGTTGAAGGAAAGTAAGGCTGTGTATCTGGCCCCTCTGTGGGATTTTTTTTGGTATATTATTGTACTTAGTTAATTAATGCACTTGTTAGTCAGATATATTTTTTATTTATATGATCAAGTTGGGCTTAGTTTGTTTTATCCCATGGCATTGGCTCAATATTTCAAATGTCTTGTTGGCGCTGTTTACTGATAAGTGCTTTGTCTCGTATGTAATTTATTAATTTCCTTGTAGAATAGCTGGTGTATAACCAAATTTGCTCCTTTCAAGATGAGTTTCTCTGCCCAATCATGATGAAATCAATATGGGCCCATGAGCATGTGAATGCGTAAGTGTACTTAAAGTAGCAGCATTCCGGTTTTATTTGTTTTAATTTTTTTGAAAATGGATGGACTGCTTGAAGCAAGGAGTCAACTTGCCAGATATTGTGTGGACCAGGAAAATCAACACACACGTAGCAAAATTACGTACTAGTCATAATAGCATGGTATTTGGTGGCACTGTGGACCATGCCACTTAGTGCCATGCGCCTCCCTGGCTCTGATATTTTATCAATTGTATGATGTTGATATGTTATGTATGTGTGCATCTATATTTTTGTTGTAACTTAGTTCTCAAAAAGCAATAGTTAAAAGTGCATTGACATGTTGTTTGGATTATGCATTTCATCATGTTTTGCTGTATCAAACAGAAGTCATGTTCACATGGTTAAAATAATCCACATTACTTAAAATACATTGTATGGTGCTTGTACCTAATTTTTATAGTGGCAAATAACCATAATGTTTTATTAACTGTGGAGTTGAGCAAGTTGTAATGGAACAGACTATGTCAATAGTATGTTGAGACTGGTGTTGTGTACGGCCTGAAGTTCTTTCAATCAAAAAATTGTCTGCCAGAAACTGCCATCAATTACAAACAGATTTGTTCCTTAGACTTGAGACTGTGATTTCTTTTGTCTCCATATCAATGTGGATTCAATGTACATGTTAGACCCCTATAAAATAAAGAAAAAAAGAAAAAACATTTCCCATATATATTATACTTTAGACTAGATCTTTATTTCACCCATTATCGCAGGTGATTTCGAGGTTTCCATGATATTTCAAGAACAGTACCTGGAGGCACAGCTATGGGCTCAGTAGGGTGTGCAACCCAAGGGGTTGCTTACTTCAAAAAACCAGTGCACACTCAGGAAAAAATCAAATAAAGAAAGTCAATAGTCGAAAAGTCAGGATTCGAGAAAATCAGGAGAAAGTTAAGTAAAATCAACGGAAAAGTCGGCTGAACTCCAGAAAAATGAAAATAGCAGAACAGATTGATCGACCTAAGACTTCTAATCAGAGCTACCACACTCACAGGCCGCAAGGCAAATAACATTAACAACCTTTCAGCTTATAAAATTTGTCCTGACTCATTACACACTATGTATGAGTAAAAAGTCAGAAATTAAATTTATCTTGACAAAACAGTAGCACACTTACATTGATGATAATATGAATTACTTCTTTGTATTCAACCATACTTCACGCAATGCAACCCTATCACTTATCGTTGTTGTAAATGGTGGAAATACAGTTATTTGTGGATTTACGTCTCTAGGTTTGTAACATCGAACCTTGTAATTTTTAAAACCATTGGAAGCCCACTCATCAGCAACTAGTGTAATGAGCAGGGATGCAAATTCCTCATCAATTGTAGCATCATCTGGGGGCACTCTCCTCTCCAATATATCAAAATAGCCATTTGTTAACACAGGGACAATGTAATCTACCTGAAAATCATGTGCAAAATCATAAGCATAAAAACAATACTTATAAAATAAAATTCTTAACAAATAATTGAAGAATGAAACAAAACAAACCTTTGATATTATATCTTTTAAGTTTCGTACACGGTCCTGAGCTAGATAGCCGGTATGATCAGAGAGTTTAATTACAAAATACGACTTTTTACTTTTTCCAAATGGTTCTTTAAGCTCATTTTCTAGCTGATTTGCAATATCTTGTCCATCTCTTGCAAAAGAAAGTAAAATAATGTTTCTGTACGTCTGAAAAGAATTTATGGATTTTCAATACAGTATAATGTTGTAGATTGTAGCTAGGCCAAAATCAATTTTTAAGAGATTCTTTACAACATACCTTTGAAAAATTAGTTCTTCTGGTGACTTGAGAGGAGAGCACATTTGGAATGGGAAGAGGAACAGGGTTAAGACAGCCTAGAAAAGTGTAATGTGAAAATGTAATTAGTAGGTAAAGAGAAAAGAATGCTGCTTGATAGATGCACAAGGTCCTAAAAAGGGAACGTACCACTGTCTGATCGTGCATGTTGTGCAAGAGCTACAAGAGGCACAACAAAGATGTTCATCAGAAACAATTATAATTAAAAGTATCCCAAACAACAAAGAATATTAGGGTCATAAATAAAACTATACCCTCCAAATCTTCCTTTTCTAAACGCGCTATTGCCCTGTACAAGGATGCGCATTCTAATGATTTAATCAAGTCCTTTACTTTCATATCTGGGACCATTTTACAAAGATCACGGAGCAGGATTTTAGATGGATGTTTTTTCTCTATATTTGCCATCTCTTTGATTTTCTGCAACATCAAAAACCAAAACAAAATACAATAAATTCATAATATAAAACAACATTTTAAATACTAGATTGAAAATTGAGGCTTACAGAAGCATTATCCTGCGACGTGCAAGGAGTGTTCAGAAAACAGTTTGCTAAGAAAGTCTCAAACGTAAGTGGGGATGACAGGAGTAAAACTTCCTCTAACGCCACTCTGGCTTTACTGCCAAAGCCACATAAAAGGTGAGCAATACCCACATCTTGGGTAATATCCATCAGACGTTTGGCACGCTCTGCCTCATACCTGCTACTCTCATTTACGAGGTGCAGAAATTCACCACGAATCAGTTCACCCATGTTGACAGTTGAGAGGAATCTGCAACAAAACTGCATTAATACAGTGTCATTTACTCAAGCAGTATTTGCTTCAAAATGATAAGCTGAAAAGGCATAAAAAATAAAGGTCTGTTTACACAAATGACAATCATAATAAATCATTATACCAAACTATTTCATGTGAAACCTGACAAGAGGTTTCTGTGGAACAAGAAAGAGGGATACTTTCTGGGTAGGGGGTAATGAGTCATCACATGTATTATTTTCTTCGATGTTCAAAGAAGGTTCCAAACAGGAAAATATTGAACGCCTACTCCCACTACGCGATACTTTGACGTGACTGACGTCACTGTCGTTGAAGGGGAATTTCTCTTACCGACACAACAAATAAACAGACGTGAGAGATGAGAAATACATGCTGTTACAAAACAGACCGCAGGCAGGGTGCAGAACTTCTGCATTGTCAAATCATCTTTATCAGTCTGTACGGGAAGGTGCGGTAATTTTGTCGATCACCTCTTCATAAGTATAAAAACATACACCACTGTCACATTTTGCCGTGTTTAAGATTAAGAACACCTCTGCAGTCCCTGCAAACTTGTCAAAATCGGTGTTTATGTTTGTACTTCTGTCCCTGAGTTGGCCCAGCCTTACGTGGCAGACGTTGGGCAGCTGGAGTAAACGGAGAGCTTAAATCTATCCAATTTCACGTATTTTTGGAACTATCTTGTTGGTTGATTAAGTAGAAAGTTCTCCTCTGCCGTTGAAGTGACCGGTGAGTTGCTGGAGATGTTCTAGTAATTCGAAGTAACCGTGAAACTGGGCTTTAGAACTGTCACTGACCGTCTAGCAGACTGACAGTTTCCCCTTCATTCATAGCGAAATCGGCGTTTTCCCAAAGAGAATATCTAAAACTCTAACTAACTCGTAACGTACTAGTCCATAAACTTAAATATTTTTTTATTTTTTCGGATGACCTGATCGGCTTAAAACCCATGTTATATTTACTTCGTTTTCATGTTGTTGTCAGAGAGAGGTTAAGCATCTTGTAGGGAAGAACGTACAGGATCCTCGACCTACATTCTATGCCACATATTATTTCACATTCTTTTACTCTCCCATCTCCACTTACTGCTCACAATTACATCACTGATTTCTTTTTTTATATATGTCTTTTTGTTTGCTTTTAACACAATATCATAGGAAATTCTGGAGACACTTGTACCAGATGTGCTAACAGTCGCTAGCGTAATGAAACAATTTATGTGTGATAAATATTACAGTTCATTTATCTGTACAGCTCCACTGCACACATTTCCATTCTAGCAATTGAACACACACACTCATCTTACATTTGAATAATTCACATGTTGTGTTTATCTGCTAAGTATTGTCAAATCTTTTCGTCACAGGAGCTCTAGCATGAATCCGGCGTATCCGCCGCCACAACCTTCGCCATATGGAGCAGCTCCAGTAACTGGGTACGGGCAATCGCCTGCTGGACAAGGGTATGGACCTCCTCCCCAAAGAAATTACGGGGGCGCTCCACCACCAGGAGCTATGCCCGGGCCTGGAGTCAACAACTCACCTGGAATTGCATCATTTCCATTGAATGGTCCATCACCTCAGCCGCCTAACTCACAGGGTATTTATTCTATCAATTTAAAATGTCATTAATGAAGGCTTATTTTAAATTCACCATGATCATGTCATAACTGCCGTACATTCGTTTCTTATTTTTCTAAAATTCCGCGTCATGTTTTATGCCAGGTCCTATGTCTGGAGCTCCAACTGGCCCACCAATGGGTCCATCAAGTGGTCTGGCAATGGGCTCAGTAGACATGATGAAATCTCAATCGAACCACATGGCAGGAGGTTTCCCACATGGCCAGGGGCACCCTGGATTGCAACCAGGTCTACAACAGAGACAACAACCTCAGCAGTTTGGTGGTCCTCTGCCCCAGGGTCCACCCCAAGCAACACCTCAGGGCCCACCTCATCCACAAGGCCCTCCTCACCAGCAGGGTCCACCTCAACCTCAGGGCCCACCTCAACCGCAAGGCCCACCTCAACCTCAGGGCCCTCCCCAACCGCAAGGCCCACCTCACCTGCAAGGCCCACCTCACCTGCAAGGCCCACCTCACCTGCAAGGCCCACCTCACCAGCAGGGTCCACCTCACCAGCAGGGCCCACCTCACCAGCAGGGTCCACCTCACCTGCAAGGCCCACCTCACCTGCAAGGCCCACCTCACCTGCAAGGCCCACCTCACCAGCAGGGTCCACCTCACCAGCAGGGCCCACCTCACCAGCAGGGTCCACCTCAACCTCAGGGCCCACCTCAGCCTCAGGGTCCACCTAAGCCTCAGGCCCCCCACGGGCCTCCTCAAGCTAACCAGCCGTCTTTGCAAGGGCTTCAGCAAGGCCCAATGCAGGGACCGCAGGGCCTTTCCCCTGGAAACCCGGGTCAAATAACAGAGCAGATGTCTGGTATGAATCTCAACAACTCTCCTCAAAGATTTGGTGGTCCCTCCCTGGCTCATGGTCCTCCTATGTCATCTCAACTTCCTCCTCAAGTAAGTAACAGTTATTTAAAAAGCTAAGTTTGCTGTGCTCTTTCAAACTATACATTCATTTCTAAATTACGTAACTCTTTCAGTCTGGGGCCTTGAGGAATGGTCCAGGTCAGCTCCCGCCTTCAAACCTTGGACCTGCAGGTTTCCCCCCTTCTCTAAATGGAGGGACCCCGGCCAACACAGCTGCTGATGGTACCCCTCAGTCTCCTTGGATGCCAAATTTACAATCTCCCTCACACACCAGTCGGCCTCCTCTGCAACAGGGTAGTCCATACATGAATGGGATGCCAGGTCAACCTCTCCCTGGAATGAATAGAGGACCTCTGCCCCCTGGTAGATATTTGTTTGCTACAAACTCATTAGAAAGCTTTTTGGTATACTGAGAATATCATAATTTTGAAGGATACAAAATGTTATTTACAGGTGGTAATACTATGACAAATGGTCCTCAAATGGGATATCCTGGTGCAGTGCCCCCAATGCCTGGTCAGTACCCTCCTCAGCCACAGCCTGGAATGGGCTATCAACAACAACCTGGTGTTCCCGGCTCTCATATGAACAAGGGCTACCCCCCTGCTCCGGTAACTGTTCAGTTTATAATACAGCTCTTACAGTGTTTTGCATTTTTCATTAAACCACTTAATACCGTTATTGCATTTTCTTCCTCAGGGTGGAATTCAGTCCCCGACACAGTATGGTGCCTCTCAAGCCGGTATGTTTCCTGCTCAGCAGCAAAAACAGCAGCAGAAAAGGTTGGATCCAGCTCACATGCCTAGCCAGGTAATGGGAAACCCATTTTTATTTTTGTATTGAAGGAGAAGGAGATTCTAGTGTAATCTTTCTTTATCTTCAGATTCAAGTTATGGAAGAAGACGAGAAGAATAATGGAGGGGTATTTGGCACCTGCCAGAAAGGGAAAGCCCCACCTCTTGTTACTACCAACTTCATTGTTCAAGATCAGGGCTATTGTAGCCCTCGGTTTATTAGAGCCTCTATGTATAATATACCAACTACATCAGACATCATGAAACAGGTAGGCAAAAAGATGAATTTGTTTAATCTCTATCAGAGGGCTTGTGACTTGTGTCCAACTATCTCACATTCAACTTTTACTTCCCTCAGACCAAACTTCCTCTTGCTCTGATCATAAGCCCAATGGCAGAAACAAAACCTCAGGAAATGCCACCTCCTGTGGTTGATATGGGAGAGGTTGGTCCAGTAAGATGCATTCGCTGCAAAGCATACATGTGCCCTTTCATGCAGTTTGTGGATGGGGGGAGGAGATTCCACTGTCTGTTCTGCAAGGCAACAACAGAAGTACCTGCAGACTACTTTCAACACTTGGACCACACTGGCATGCGAGTTGATCGCTTTGAGCGTCCAGAACTTATGCTGGGTGCTTATGAGTTTGTAGCAACCAAAGAGTATTGCAGAAATAATACCATCCCGAAACCACCTGCTTTAATCTTCTGTATTGATGTATCATATAACAACATAAAGTCAGGAATGGTACATCTCTTGTGCTCCCGTATGAAAGAGTTGTTGAAGAACTTGCCAATAGATACTGCTGTTGGGGCACAGAAGACAAACATGAAAGTTGGTTTCATTACTTATAACAACACAGTTCACTTCTACAACATAAAGGTAAGTAATTTTTTAAAATTTTGATTGCACGAATCTGCTCTTCTATCCACATCATTTTGATACTACATTTTGATTATACATTTTTTTAGAGTTGCCTTGCTCAACCACAAATGATGGTTGTTGGAGATGTCCAAGAAATGTTTATGCCGCTTCTGGATGGTTTCCTATGTGATGCCGAAGAATCAGCATCTGTCATTGATTCATTGATGGAACAGATCCCAGCTATGTTTGGGGAAACGAGGGAAACAGAAACCGTACTTGCACCAGCTATTCAAGCGGGCATGGAGGCATTGAAGGCAGCTGAGTGTGCTGGAAAACTACTTGTTTTCCATTCTTCACTTCCAATCGCTGAGGCTCCTGGCAAACTCAAAAATCGAGATGACCGCAAGCTCTTAGGAACAGACAAAGAAAAAACAGTCTTAACACCTCAGAATAATGTTTACAATACTCTTGGCCAGGAGTGTGTCGGAGTTGGGTGCAGTGTGGATCTTTTTGTTTTTAATAATTCCTATATTGATATTGCAACTATTGGTCAAGTTGCTCGATTGACTGGAGGAGAAGTATACAAGTACACTTATTTCCAGGTAAAAAACGTTTCCATATTGATTTTTTGACTTTTGGCTGCCTTACATTTATGTTGTTATTTACTTGTTACTTAGGCTGACACAGATGGAGACCGGTTAATTGCTGATTTGCAAAGAAACATTAGTCGGTCCATAGGTTTTGATTCTGTGATGAGGGTTAGAACATCAACTGGAGTTAGGCCTACAGATTTTTATGGTCATTTCTTCATGAGCAATACTACAGACATGGAACTAGCAAGCATTGATTGTGACAAGGTAATGGCATCTTATTTCCTGATTGTGTTCACAGCTATTCACTATATGTACTTTTAACCCTTTTCACCTCATTGTCTTAAAAAAATTTAGGGAGTGGCAATTGAGATAAAACATGATGATAAACTTGCTGAAGATGATGGAGTATATATCCAAGTTGCATTGTTGTATACATCTTGTGGTGGCCAGAGAAGACTTCGCATTTTAAATCTGGCTCTAAAGACATGCTCTCAAATGGCAGATGTTTTCAGGACATGTGATCTGGATACTATTGTCAATTTCTTCTCAAAGCTTGGTAAGAAATTTATAATAAATAGGTCTCGTTCTGCCAATATTTTTTAATGGGAACTTTTGTCACTGTTAAAATATTTTGTCAATAGCTTGTTACAGACTACTTGAACATGCACCAAAGCAAGTTAAAGATGGACTTGTGAATGTATGTGCTCAAATTTTGGCGTGTTATCGTAAAAATGTTGCTAGCCCTTCATCAGCAGGCCAACTTATATTGCCTGAAACTATGAAGCTACTTCCTTTGTACCTTAATTGTCTACTGAAAAATGATGCATTATCTGGAGGTTTGTAGTTTGTCTTCATTTTTGCTTGTATTTTATGATTGGAAATTTGATGTTAAACTTACTACAATTTATTTTTTAGGTTCAGATATGACTATAGATGACCGATCATATGTCATGCAGGCTGTGATGACACATGATGTGCCATCATCTGTTGTATACTTTTACCCACGACTTATGCCTCTTCACACTGTCAATCCTGATTCGGTTGACATACCTTTCCCAGTTAGATGCAGCATCGAAAACATGGAGGATACTGGCGTGTACTTATTAGGTTATTATATTATTAATACAGTTTAGTGATTGGTGTAGACTTTGTAGAAACACTGCATTTTATCAACATCTTTTTACAGAAAATGGAATCCACATGTTCATGTGGATTGGCTTGGCCACCAGCCCTGAGTGGCTGCAAGCTGTATTTGGAGTATCAAATGCCAGTCAAATTGATGTAGAAAGACCGTTCCTTCCTGATTTGGACACTCCACTATCACATAGAGTGAGAAAAATTATAAGTGATGTTCGGTCTAAAAGACATAGATGTATGAGGGTATGTATACCTATTTATATATTAATTGAGTTTCATGCTGTGAGAAGCTGTAATTACTTATGTATTTTTTTTTTTCAGCTTACATTGGTGAGGCAGAGAGACAAAATGGAAATGGTTATGAAACATTTCCTAGCTGAAGATCGTGGAGTGGATGGCTCTCCTTCTTATGTGGATTTCTTATGCCAGCTGCACAAAGAAATTCGTGGTTTACTTGAATAGTTTAAGCAGTATAGGCTAAGATGCCAACATTAACAGAAATGGTCGATCTTGAGATGTCTATCTTTGTTGCATGGTTTTTTGTAAGTCAAAGGCTAGTAATTAAAACCAATGCAGTCTGAATTACATTCTAAAAAAATTGAAGACCTCATTGGTGACTTTCACATTTTATTAATGATGAGGTGTATTGCTACTTCTGCTCCAATCACTGAGCCAGCCTATAGTTCCTGGGTGGTGGTTGTTGGTACAATCATAACATAACATAAATAGGAAAACGAATTTTTCAGTTTGCTCAGATTACGCGTTTTAATTGTTTGCTCAAAGTTGCCTGATTTTCAATCGCATGTTTCATGACATCATTGAGCCATGAGTTACCCTCATACTTGAACCCTTCAACAAAAACTATAACAACTTGTGCGACAACATTTAAATTAGGAATTACAAGTTTTGTCTTAAAGTAACTTCAACCATTATGTTGTTTGTAAATTGTATATTTTAGAAGACTGGTTACTTGATCATAAAGGTTTAGCATTACTTTCAAGAACTGACATTAGTTGTACTTTATAAAAATGCTGGTTTTTCTATTTAGCCATAGCAGTTTTGGTGTTTGAAGGAAAGAAAAAGCTGTTACAGCACTGCATTATCCAACCACTGCTGCTGCTGCTGCTGGGCTTTGTGCCGCTGGTCTGAACTATTCAAAATACTGCATAACCTATTCTACCACTGCATCTGTATTGCATCACATCATAGGTGAGAGATTGTTTTATTTGTTTATGAATTGATGATGGAAAAACTATCATTCTTAAACTTACCATTGTGGTAAATCATGTATTTAGGAAAATTATTCTACCTCAATTTTTCTATGCAATCATCAAAGTTGGCTTTTGCCATTATGTATGTGTGTATGTATGTTTTTGTTTCCAACATTGTTTTGAATTTAAAAACGTGTACTTCTTTTCTGGTAATGAACAAACACACTAAAGTTCCCTTTGGTGTCTTGTGATATCATGGTGTTCACTCTGAAGTTGCAAACTCTGTTCAATATTATCCAGGGTATGAAAAGCCTTCCACCTCTAACTCACTGTGCGATGCAGGAATCAGAATTTTCCATGGAAAATCTGGTGATGTATGATGATTATATGACTCATTGTGTCAATTGGATTAGAACATAGCAACAAATTTTAAAACTACATAATTTTTCCTTGCGGTTGGTTTTAAACTGACTATATCACTACTGTGTAATTTTATATTTGTTTTGTGATTTTCACAAAAATATTTGGGTCTGTAAGTGTGTACTTGGAAGTGTATGTGTGTTTATATGTAAGAAAAACTATTGTTGGTAAATTACTAGGAGTGTAAAATGTGTATATACTGCCCACTGTGTGTATTTCTGTTTAGCTGGTACCTATAGGTGTATGTATTCCAATTTTGACTCTTTACTTACGTTCTGTACATTTGATCCAGCTTTCAAAGAAAGAAGCAGTGTTGCATTTTTTAAATCCCCTTGTGTTTTGAAAACTTGATATGAAATAGTCTTTGAAATTATTTTGCTCGACACTGCATTAATGGAACTTCCATTAATGCAATGCCGGACAAATTTTTCTGGGACTGCTTGTTACCTTCCCACTGGGTTGACAGTTTCGAATTCTGTGATTCCAGGGACTGAGGGGATAGTTATCATAGCATGATGGCAATCACATTTGCCTCCTTATTTTAATTGTTGAAAATATACATTTCATTTTGTTCTCATGAAGTGTTTGTTGACTGTTTTGTTGTAGAGCACTTGTTTCACCGAATAGGTGCTTCCAATTTTATCACTATTTCTGTAGTTTTCTTCTGTGAAATATTTGTTTGCCATTGTGTTTATCAGTGAGGTTGGAGCTGAGGGTTGAAACCAGCACATTTTCCGATAATCTGGAATGGTTGTGGGATAAGTTTGGCAATAAAAGGTATAAGACTAGCAGCATCAGCTAAGTAGCTTGCAATGACCAAGCATTGTTAATAATACAATTTTGATGAGTCTTCATAAAAGTGCAAAGATTTAATTTTTCTGACTTTTTCAGTGTTTTTTTTTTTTTTTTTTGTGAGAAAATGCTTTGCAAAGTTGTAGTATTGTATCCAATTCCAATCTTTCCCTAATGTATTTTATCTGGTACACACATGCATATATTTATGATAAACAATTTACTATGAATATTTTTATGGAACGTATTATTGTTATAATTTTTCCATGTTGAGAATTGCGACACATAGCGAGATTCATAAACAATTGTAACATACCATTAAAAGAGGATTTTGTGGAATAAACGCTTTTATTATCAAATCTTATTGAATTTTCTTGGTGTTTTAATAGAAGGGAGAGTAGTTGTTAATCTGGAAAGTCCTGTCTTACTAAGAAGTAGCTTAAAAAGGATATTCAGGATGACCGAGTCCTCTGAAAAATAACAAAGAAAACCCCATATTAAAAACCCCTTTCATGTTTGTGGGTAAGTTAAGTCAAGTCATGAACCAAACTTACTCAAGGAAAGGACACATGCGCCTATCCTTGTTAAGTGCTTCGAGTATAGACATGTCTTGGGCACTCAGCTCAAAATCGAAAATATTGAAATTCTCCTGAATTCTCGACTTTGTTACCGACTTGGGGATCGGCACTGCACCGCGTTGCACCTGGAAAGCCTGCACTGTTAGACTGAATTCTCGTGTGAAGTTAAGCATTGGTATTCCAAATAAGTCTTAAATAAACAAGTTGTCTCATGACGAAACATTTCTCACTACTTTTGGCGCATTGTTCAATATGAGTAAACCTCAGCCAACAGGCTGTGTGAATTGGGAGTTACCATTTTTTGTCAAGTAACGACTTAACATTTGACAGTGTTAGAGAAATCAGCACCAAAAATCATCTGTGAGTCGCCAGAACTCACCAGGTAACGCAGAATGACCTGCCCGGGGGTCTTGTCGTGCTTCTTCCCGACCTCCGCGATGGTCCTGTCGTCCAGGAGGCGGTCGACCTTGCCGAGGCTCCAGTCGCTCTCGGGGGAGCCGAAGGGGCTGTAGGCCACGACGCGCACCCCGAGCTGCTGGCACAGTTCGAGCAGGGGCTTCTGGGAGAGGTACGGGTGGCACTCTATCTGGTTCACCACCGGCTTGATGTCGCAGTTGTCCATGAGTCGCCTGAGCTGCGCCGCGTTGAAGTTGGACACGCCGATGGAGCGGACCAGGCCCTGGCGCACCAGCTGCTCCATGGCTCGCCACGTGTCCAGGATGTCCACGGAGCTGAACAGCACCTTGCCGTCGGGGCCCTTGGGGGTGAGGTCGTCGCCGTCTTTGAAGGCCGTGGGCCAGTGCATCAGGTACAGGTCGATGTAGTCCAGGCCCAGGTTCGACAGCGACTTGCGGCAGGTCCTCTCCACCGCGTCAGGGTGGTGTGAGTTGTTCCAGAGCTGAAACAAAGGGTGGTCGTCTTGTGCCGGTGAAGGGGGTGCCGCCGCTGACGTCTCCCCGGCCGGCCGCCGGCCACGCCCCCTACCTTGGTGCAGACGAAGACGTCCTCGCGCTTGACGACGCCCTGCGCTATCTTGGCCCGCACCGCGGCGCCCACCTCCTCCTCGTTCTGGTAGAGCAGCGCGCCGTCGATGTGCCGGTAGCCGATGTCGAGGGCGTCCATCACGGCCTGCTGCACCTGGCCGACGTGCTGCAAGGGAAGTGCCACAAACACGGCATGAAGGCGAGGGCGGCGGCGGGGCCGGCCGAACCGGGGCCAGGTAAGTAGACAGTGTCCCTGCTTCGTTACTCCTTACCGAGTCGAGACGTTTGCCCAATGGATTCCCCTGCAAGAAGTTAGACACAAGTATATTATATTAGCACACAGCACTCTGCATCGCATTTGCAGACGTGCGAGCAGGCCACCTGGTCAGGATACAAACAGGCAAACCCGCTCGCGCATTCATGCGATTCAGCGGAACTATAGTTTTGTTAAAACCCAGAACCGATGAGAAGCAGTGGGATTCCGGAACGATGTGGTAACGACGTCGACAATGAAAAGTCGACGTCGGTTTGATTGAGTATCATTATAAACACACACCTGGTAGGTGCCCAGTCCGATGACGGGCATCTGCGTGCCATCGTTGAGGGCGACTTTGGGGGCGGGGCGGGGTGCCGGCATGGTGTATAGTGCTGGCGCTGCGGCGGCTGGCGTGGACCGTACTGCGTACTGCCGCAGTCGCCGTCGTCAGCCCGCCGCCCCCCGCCGGACCGGACCGCGCTGCCCTCGAGTGTTTGTCGCCCTCCTGGTTATCAGAGACATGCCATGAGGAGCCCTGGCGCGCCGGCCCCGCTCATTATCGTCAATTATTTCGTATTTTCCCATCACCGAACGTTTTAGTCTCCCCCCCCCCCTTCACGTTTGAGAGTGACTTTACCTTATTGGTCAAAGTCTCTTCTTCTAAAAGACCTCCTGACGATGAAGACGTCTGTCGATCACGATACGCGCGCGGGAAAGGGAGAGAGAGAAATGGAGGGGAGGATGACCTTTGACCCTGACCATCCGGACGGGCAATCAATCAAACACGCCCACCGCGACGCGCAAAAGCGTCGAGCAGCCAGCAGCGTGCGCGTCGCGGAGAGTGAAACCGTTCTCCTCGCCGCGGGCGGGGCGACCTCCTCGGTGGGCGGCGCGGACGGCCGCGGGACGGTCGCGGGACGGGTCCGGCGCCGCGCAAACCGACCGAGCCGCGGGCTCAGTCCCGCGCGCCAGCGGGCCGGCGGGCAGCGCGCCGAGGAGGTGGACCCGCGGCCGCGCTGGTCAGCCCGGCCCCCCGGCGCGCGGTAGCAGCGTGGCTCGCGGCCGGCCCGGACGCTGCTGCCGCCTGGCGGCGGCCAGCAGAGCCTCCACGCCGCCGGCCGCCGCTCGATAAGTCGTCTCCCCGCCGAGGCGTGGTGGTGAAGGGAGGGTGAGAGGGGGAGGAGCACCTTGTTGCTGTGTAGCGCGGGCTCTTCTCGGAGCCGCCGCGGCGTTGGCGTTGGCGTCCCCACGTGCCGACCGCGGGGAGGGGGGGGGGGGGAGAGAGAGAGAGAGAGAGAGAGAGAGAGAGAGAGAGACCGGGGGGGGGGGGGGGGGGGAGAAAGAAATGCGTCGCGGAGCCGTGAGATGCAGGGGTTGGGGGCTGAAGACGTCACTGCAGGTCGCACGTGCGTGGCCTTGGCTGGCGTTTGGCTTATGCACACCATGATGGGGATTGAGAGGAATAGCACGATGTGGCTCTCCCCGCCGCCCTGTAGAGTGCTGTATTATGCCGACCTGCAGAGGGCCCGGAGGCAGCTCGCCGAGTCTACCTGTCCACCACACGCAGTCTACCGGTCAGGAGCCAGGAGGTCTAGCCACCTTCAGCGGGCTTAGGGGATATTTCAGAAAGTACGTGCGTTGTTTTCATTCGACACCCTGAAGGGAGCTCAGCGCCTGCGATACTCGGGGTAGGCCACCCCGCAGTGCACGCATGCAGTGTAGGCGAGACGTTGCCTACCCGTCAGGCGCTATGTCCGCCAGCTTGCAGAGGCGGTGCCTTTCTTGGCTGGTTCGTCACAGTCTGATGACGGACGTACTTCTCCACACCGCAGGAACTGGCCGATCCTGCCGACCTTTCGACCTTTGATCTGAACTGTGAAACGTGACAGAAGGATGGACTAGTAGATCATGGCGGGTGATAGTGAACCTGGCCGGCCGCCCAGTTCCCGCCGTGGGGAGGTTCACGGGGCGGTGGGAGCGGCGGCCTGTGCCGGGCCCATCTCGTTTACTACTTTACCTCCTGAACACACTCACACACTCGCTGCGGTGGGCGCCCGGCGCTGCTCGCACTGCGCCGCGCGGCGGTTCATTCGGAGGCTTTCACTCGGATAAACCTCTTAACACCTGCCCAGCGCCGCCCCCCCCCCCCAATCCACCGCTTTCTGTGTTCGGTGGACCAACCAGAGGTGGTACGAGCAGGGGGGAGATTCCAACGCGTTTTAACGTCCGCGCCAGGTTTTAACTTGACAACGCTTTAAGGCGTTGTTAACTGTCACGTCATCACCGTAAAGACTATAGCGTCATAGATACTTTGCTCACAGGACATCGAGATGAGTGTGGCATGTGAAGCGTATGACGAGCTATATCCGTGTGATGTCGGCGGATTCTGCGGAATAAGCGACCACCCCGGACGCCGGACGGGCCTCGGCTGAACGTAATACCTTCCGCTCTGCGGCGGCAAGTAGAGGTCCGGGGTGGAGCTGATTCGGGGAGTCGTCTGCGCCGCGTATCGACCCATGAAGACTAAAAGGTCGGACGTCAGCTTCGCAGTGCGACTGGGGCGTTTTGTGGATTTGTCAAAAGTCAAGGAGTCATTAGACTCGATCCTCCAGGACCAGCCACAGTATATGAATCCAATTTCTCGACGCTTGTGAAAGAAACTGCGGCTACCCTGAGCAGCCGCACCTGTCTGAGAATCCCCCCCACATTCCCCCGACTACCTTTTCAGTTTTGAAAGGTTGGGGTGGAGGTGGGTTGGGGTCTGCGACTCGCGTGCACGTGCACACAGGGGACCGTTTAATCCTGGAGTCCTACTTACAAAATAAAAAATAAAAGTTTTGGCTGTGTGAACGAAATTTTAATTGTTTTGATTGAATAATTTAGTGAAACTATTTTGACTAAATTGTTCTCAAGGGTTCTCGGGCGTGTCCCACACCTGCTCACGAGCACTCGCCTCCCGCAGTCATGGCATCGACGGCAGAGAGTTCCCACCGACGCCAGTCGGGCCGACTAGGGAGCCCAGCCCACTTTGAGGCGGGCCCGGGTGTACCTGTCCGGGGCGGGGCGGGGCGGGGCGGGGCCGTACAGTGATACACCTGTACCGCGGGGCCCTGCCGGCCTCGGCCCCGGCGGCGACGGGGCGGCCGGCTGAGCTACCAATGAACAGAGAGGAGGATGAGTGAGTGAAAGTGAGGAGGACACAAAGAATGCGGCACCGGATGGACCTCTCTCCCCCTCCCACCTCTCGCCCTCTCTCTCCTCCCCCTCCCCTCTATTCACTGCTGCCGAGGGGAGGGGAGGGGAGGGGGGAGGGGGCGCTCCTCATACTCATCCGATAATGTTTTTCACCATTCGTTCTTCCTGCCCGACTCCCCTTCTGCACCACCTCCACCACTGCCGTCTGTCCCCCGTGGTGTCACTCATGGTAATGTTTGCAGAAAGCTCTCTCGACATACACGCACGCGCGCTCGTCTGTCTGTCTGTCTGTCTGTCTGTCTGTCTGTCTGTCTGTCTGTCTGTCTGTCTGTCTGTCTGTCTGTCTGTCTGTCTGTCTGTCTGTCTGTC